CTTCTTTTATCCCCCTCATTTTCACTGACTGGTCGGTAATTACGATAAGCTAGGGCAATACAGTATTCAGCAACAGTTCATGGTGATACAGAAACAGTATCCAGCAACAGTTCATGGTAATGCAGTATACAGTATCCAGCAACTTTTGTAGTAATACAGTATCTTGGAAACCAATTTTGATTTCAGCGACAAATCGAAGTACTACACGAATTCAGCAGTAAAGGAGGTGGTACTTCGCCTTCGTCTGGTGCTGCTGCTGGTATTCTGATGAGACCCGATCAACCCACATCACTACTCAACTTCGTTATCGCTGAACTGGTAAGTTCAATTTATCCATTTTTCGTTGTAGCTTTGTCTTTCATTATTGTGTCAATAGTTTCACTGTTCTTATCATATTCAGTAGGGGTTTCCCTATTTGTAAAGCTGATGCTTAGGTAAAGCTGAGAGCGGATAAATTCCACTGTAGAATATGAAGTGATTGAAAAAGAAAAGTGGGTTAGATGCATGGGATTGTTAACAGCCTTTGTTTCCGGGGGGTTTATGGAAGCAAAAAAAATTAGAGTGTAAATGTTGTCCACAATCGCAGGCTGTTGAAAGTAATACAGTAGAATTGTGTAAAATTTTTGTGTAAATCCAATCGAACCTATTCGCCTTTACCTTCTCATAAGCATCGTAAGCATCAACTTCATAAATTGGAAAGCTACCTGCTGAGAACGGGTTTTCATAAGATAATTTCCACTATCATAAGCTCAATTTTTACTTGCTTTGTTTTTTTTTTCCTTTTATTCATGGGCTCGTATTTGCTTTAATTTACTTTTCTTTGTAGTTGTGTTTTTTTTCCTTCCCTTAGTGCTGGCGGTGATTTAAAGCAAATCTAAGCGCAAGGTAGTGGAAATTGGTCCTATTCATAGCATTCATGCTTAGGTAAAGCTGAGAATGAATAAGTTCTTTTAGATTTGCACAAAAGTTCCACACAAAGGTTGCAATTTTTTTGCTTTTGGTAGCATTTCAAATAGTTCTGTAGGCACAATACTATTTTGTATTGAAAAAGACAGGTTCCTTTTATCTTGAAGCGTACGTTAAGCGAATACGAAACTCCATGACGCGACCAGTGAGTGGTTTTTTGTCAGATATTCAGAAATTTTGGTGCCCTGTAACAGAAGTTTTCCCGCATTTCAGTTGAATACGGAGCAGAGTTATGTTCGCGAACTACAGTCGATTGTCGATTTTTATATGAGACCATTTGATGCACCAGAAAATGAGCCGCTCATTGCAAGCCATCTGAGGGATCGGTCTGAAATCATCTTTGGCAACATTCCAGATTTGGTTGGTTCCCCCTTTGATCTTCTAATCGAAATAGCACTGAAAATTGGGCTGAACTAATTTATCATTTGTAGCAACAGTGCTATTTTCATTGTTATCATC